AAAAAAAAAAGTTTTTTTTTTTTTTTTTTTTTTGTCCACCCCAAATTAAAGGGTTGTAACATTTATGAAATTTGGTCTGATGATTATTTGTCATACAAATAATTTCACAGGGTTGAGAAATATTATTATAAAATTCTAAATATTAAATAATGCAATTTGTTAATAATGTTTAAATTAGTTTAATTCCACTCTCCATTAGATTTTTGTAATCTGCCCACCTGAATATTAATAAAATAAAGAATACTTTTATTTATTGATTTGTTTGTTTATCACAAATAATATGCAACATTTCTGTCTTAACTTATTTTCTGTATTTTCAACCATCCAGCCTTTTTCTTTCTTTCTTTCTTTCTTTCTTTCTTTTTCACAAATAATATGCAATGTTTCGGTCTTATTTTATGTGTTTTCAACCATCCAGTCTTCATTAAAAATTAAATGGTTACACTTTATTTTAAGCAGTTCTCACTATTAATAAACCATTAACTATGACTTTTGCCTTAATAAACTCCTAATTTGCTGCTTATTAATAGTTAGTTAAGTTTAGGTATTGGGTAGTAGTTGTTAAATTTAGGTATTGGGTGGGATTAGGGATATAGAATATGGTCATGTAGAATAAATGCTTTATAAGTACTAATAAACAGCCAATATGTTATTAATAGGCATGCTAATTAGCAACTTATTAGTAAGAATTGGTCCCTATACTAAAGTGCTACCAAATAAAGCAATACCTTTAAGTTTGAGAATTTAAAAAATAAGGTGAATCAAACTCTTAAAGTACCAGAAAATACCAGAAATATGTTCTTATTTAAATATATGATATGTAATTGAGATTTAAACTTCACAGTGATTGTAGTTATCGCAGATTAGCATGATTTGGTTGAATAACTGCAACAAGCTGATTATTTGCCTACAGTCAAAGCTTCTTGCATTTGAATCACAGGGTAAAGTAGTGGAAACGCAGTGAACTTCACTCTTCTGTAAACCCTCTAGTTTAAACATCCTCTGATCCAGTTTACCTCAGTGGGTGGAGATGTTGTTTGTGATGTGTTTAGTGTAATAAAATTAGATATCTTAGTGAGTGTTCAAGGAGTTCATTGTGTTCTATGGTAAATATTTGTTTGCACCTCATCTCAAATGACTTACGTCTCCCTTTAGCACACATCAAAATGCAAAGGAAAGCTTACATGTAGCTTTAACATTTATTTAGAAGCAAACAGCAGCCAACCCAAACACATGAGTGACTCTGAAATCTCTCTGATGCTGGGAATAAAGGACACATTCTGCCATGAGTCTCTCTCACTCAGTTCTTTGAAATATGACTGGCACACTCTGTTTCGCCTCCAAGCTTTTATATTCTAGCCTACAGATATGGCTCGTTCCCTCTGTCTATGGGATTTTTTTTCTCTTGTTTTATTGTCCACCAGGTGGAAAATTGTTAATAATGTAGCAGCAGCTCACCTCATTCGGTATCATACATTACTGTCAGAGTATGTACTCTGCTTTTATTTAACTTCTTGACCAATAATAAAGTATGTTCTGTATGCATGTATGTGACCTATGACATCAGCTGTGTCACTGTTGTTCAGCATTTCCATGCCTCATGGGACAGTAAAGTTTTGGCAGAAGCAGTACGTGATCTGGGTATCTTCATTCTTTTATGAATACTTTGGATTTCGACTTAATAGTAATTTAATGCACTGTGTTTTTTTGCATACTATTTAGTAGGGAAACAGGCATATTCAAACCTAGCATTCTTTTTGCAACCACCACTAATGAAATGTGGAAAACCCCTTAGTTTTCTGCACAGAAGGCTTTCATTCAGTTTTCCCCATTTCCAAAAATCATTTCCTCTGTAAAATATAGTGCTGAATTAAACTCTGAAGGAGCAAACATTAAGAATGAACTTTTTAATGAAACATGGCGTTCCCTTTTTAGTATGTAGCTCTCAGTCTTGTGAAATGTGTTAACAGTGCTGGATGATATAGTACACAGGCCATGATTAATATTATAACGTTAAAGCCATGCGGATGTGTGATCATACCCACACTTCCTCTTCGCTCAGTGGAAGCAAGTAATTCGAGGAGTTTTTCTCTTACACACACACAGCACACACACATGCTTTCTTCATGTACCCACACACACACATACATATGTACGCACTTCCTCCACAGTCTGAGGCTGAACAATCATCACTGTGAGGAATGTCCTGATGAGAAAGGATATTAACACATCTCTTGGCCAAACGTTTAGTCTGCACGAGATCAGGATCAGTCTCTCTGAATAGCTGCCAAGGTCATCAAGGTCAAGCAGCTTGTATTTGAGCAGGGATGTGAAAGTCCTGCTGAGTATGGAGCAGTTTTATTTAACTAACTAAAAGTAGCAATGCTACTAATTTAACTTCCATTTTTAGCAGCATGACTGTAGCTCTGCTGATTTAAAAAAAAAAAAAGTAGTTTCTTTCAAATACAGCATTGAAAATTCTTATTTATTTTAAAAAGTGGTATCTTTTGAAAAAGAGATATATATATATATATATATATATATATACAGAGTCAAGTGTCCCGAAAAAGAGGTATATATATATATATATATATATATATATATACAGAGTCAAGTGTCCCCTCAGATTTTTGAGCTGAGATTTTTTAGATTAAGTGGATTTTAAATGCACCTTCAAAAAAAATTTTTTTTAAATTGCAGAATAATATTTTTTTATATTTCATACAATCGCACCGGCGTGATTAGAACATGCAGTGCAACACAGCATCAATCACACACGATTCTGTTGAGCTTATGAATGCAATGACCAAATTAGAGGCATTCAGATGAGTCCTCGCTGAAACGCCGGTGTTTAGTTCACTTGCTCGCTGACTGAATTCTGCTCTCTGGCGAATTCTCTCATCAGAAACAACAAAGTGCAGATGTGCATACGACAGCTTCAGTGATTATAATGAGAGTTGAGAGTGCTTGAAAATGTTCTTTGATAATGTAAATGTTCTTTCTTTTCTTTCTGTACAACAATGTGTTCTAATTCACATTAAATACAAAGTCAGTCATATAAAAAAAAATTATGGCATGACTCCCAAATGTGGTACTTACAGGTTTTTATGCGTAGTTAATAGATTACACTATTAGGCTACTTTGCCCGTCGCCCATTATAGATCAACTAAATGCAAATGCAAAATGCATTTATTCACACATATTTGAGAATCGAGATATTTCATGATATGGGAAACACGTGTGGGAATATTTTGAATAAGGAAAAAATAAATAAAACATAAGCCTATATCATTTACACAGTGCTATCGTGGCTGCTGTATGTCACATGACAAGCCCCATCCCCTCGAACCCCCATATATGTATATATAAATATATATGTGATACTGTTCGTGTTTAATATAAATTATAAATAGTTTCATATTAAAATGCAAAAAAGATATCAGTAATGTGTATCCCGCAACTAATGTATTCATAAATTGGGGGCACAAAGTATGAAATATTCACAAACGACACAAATAATTTCAGCACACAGAATCTAAATGTGAAAACAATGACATCATTGCACACCATTAAACTGTAAGTATGAGTGTACATCCAGTAAATGTGAACGGGAACAGATGTAATCCTCATGATCTGGTTGCTGTTTCCGTGTTTGTACGAGCGCTGGCCTTTGAGGTTGCGGCAGTGTTTCTGGGTGTGTGTTTAATTTTGATACTCTTCGTGTTTAGTAAACCCGCAGAGGCTGATGTCTTATACAAATGTTTACTAAGTTATGTTTGCACTACCTGATTTATTACAGTTTTGTAACATGCTAATCTACATGTTTGTCTCTATTGTTGTCTCTGCAGCCAACGGTATGTACATGGTAAGCCAAGAAATGAGACTGGTTGTAGAAAGAGACAACGCAACTGTACGCCAACACCTCAGCAAGGTAACGATCACACAACATTTGAACAGTAAATGTGAGTGATGTAAATAAAATAAAATAAAAACTAAATTAGCCTTTGTTTGGAATAACAAACAATTCTATTAATATTTTGAAGATATCTTTTAAAGTGAATTGGTTTCTTCACGTAGGAAGGAAGAAACAATATTTGAAATGTTGTTGACAGTATGGAAACAACTGTCAAAATTTATCAATTGACTTTAAACAAACTCCAAACAGTCTTGAACTGATTTGTGTCTAATACAAGAACATCTGTATCCTTCAGTGCATTACATGCGATGTTGCATTAGACTATCACTAGCTATGTTTCCATCCAAAGATGCAAATTTTACTTGTGCGCAAAACTGGAATATCGCGTTAAACATTTGCGAATAAAGCACCGTTTCCATCCAACGAGTCAAAGAGAACAAAATCGTCACTTCCTGGTAAACTGGCACTAAATATCACTAAGAAAACTAGGAGAAGCCACTGAATATAATAATTTTCATATGCTGTTTGGAAACGCAATCTTGTAAGACAGTAATTATACAGAAATACTTTGATGACAGAATTTCCTCAGGCATTTCAGAATGACCAAAACAACATATAGAGATCGGTCCGCTGGTTAGTCAATTTATCCCGTCTCATAGCGCAAAGTCACATGACCTTTTCAATGCGCATGGTGGAATTTATTCGGTAAATGTGTTTCCATCGTAGTTTATGTGCATTTTTTCTTATCGGATAAAAAGTTTATCCTACTCAATTGTGCGCATAAGTTTTTTATGCGCATTTTTAGAGCTTATGCGCATCTTGACATTTCCATCCAGCGTTTTTTTTAAGTGATATTCCAAAATGCGCATAAAAATAGGTGGATGGAAACATAGCTACTGTCCCTATAATGCATAAGGCAAACAAGTGTGGTCTCTTTATTAATCAGTCAATGTACACATCCAGTGTCACTTCTGGAAATACATTAAAATATGCATTATATTTAACATAGATAAATATTAGAATTAGTTAGGGATTCAGTGATATTAAAATTAGCTAAAAATTCTGTAGCTAATAAATTGCCAGTAATGCTATTTTATACCATTTTGTCTGAATAAATACAATTAAAAGACTAAAAACAGTCATTTCAAATGTTACAAGTGGATTTAGGCATCATAATGTACACTATGAAAATGCATATTTATTTTGTTAAAGATCACATTTATTATTGTTTTTTAAAATTATCTTAAAGTGAGTGTTGCATGACTGCAACGGTAATCTAAATGTAAAATAGTGGAATGCACAATTAAATATGGAAAATTGACTTATTGATTTTTTTTAAAAACTCGAATAATTGCTGATAATCAATATGCTTCAGATATGTTGTGCATCCCTAAAATGATTGATCTCATTAACTGTAATTGTTAAAAAAATTCTGGTTTCAAGTAGAGGTTTTTGTTCATATTTTTGGCCATTTTTCTTAGTTTGTGGCCGAAATGTCGATGCATAACTAGAAGAAGACTGTAATAAATTAAACAAATCACAGAAGTAACTTGCCAACAGCGTTGTTCCCCATGCATGGGTATTTGTTTTTACTGAAACAATGAGATGACGCAGCTTTCCTTAATTTCCTACATATTAACAGCGCTGATCAAAGAGATTTGGGAAGCCTCTAAACATGTTAGACGCAGATGAAGCCCACGCTGACTCACCCTCAGAGAGCTGATAACCAATCAAACAATATCAGATCTCAAAGAACGTTCCTCCAACCCACGCTTCGGTTTTTTCAACGGATGCATGGGCGGAAGAACCATATGTACCTTTCAGTACCATGGTGTGATGCAAAGCAGAGACTGCGTACATATGCAGAGGGAGGAGGACGGGGCTGCTGATGGTCTATATCTGTCATCCGTTAAATAGGTGATATCTTCACTGCTCTTAAGAGTCGCATACTCGAGACCTGCGTCTTATGTTACACATAGCACCTCGACTTGAAGAAATTCCTTGAGCCTGGAAACCGGTCGAATTTTTCCCGGTCTGATCTGTGCATCCCACCCGTAATTCGAGGGAGGAAGGAAGCTCTTCCATTTCTCTGACAACCATTGTCTGTATGAGTGTCAGAGTATGTGGCGTTCTTTGGTATCGGCTTCGCAGTCCGTCTTGCTTGCCAATAGCGATGCTAGAATAATTTTCTTCCGAAAAAGCTGAAGGTGAAGACAGGAGGTCATATGTTTAAACCCCTCTCAGCCTTAAACCACATGCATCTGACTCCTCTATTAGATTTATGGGCTGTGGTGAAATCGATCAGGCCGACAGATGTAGAACCCATCACGATTAACTGGTACAGTCGGCAAAGGCCAAACATTATGCAGTTTGTCATAGAAATCATGCAAAGCAGTTGACAAGAGAATTTGATCTTTCTATTGTGTACGGCTCTCGAGGTCTCACCAATAAATAGCCTTTAGAAATCTGCACGGGTGGTTTTTCCTTTCACATTGATGTTATTGGCACCGTTCGGCCGAGGTTACAGCAGCCTGACTGAAGGAAAAACCCTTCAAGTGTCCACACTGGTGTCCGAGGGGATGTGGTGGACATAGTGGATTTAATGTCAATCTTTCTTAAATTTTGTTTTATTGAAACACAATCTTGATTGTTTTCCCATTTGGATCCTCTGTGAAGTTCTCAGTGTGCCTCGCCTTTGTTAAAGACTTTCTATATGATTTATTAAGTTATTCTGCTTTATAGATTTATGGCACATGATGAATTTTATCTGCCAAAGATGTGACTGATTATATCTTGACTAGAGATGTAAATTTATTGCCTTAATTAGTACAAATAATAATATATGACCCTGGACCACAAAACCAGTCATAAGTCGCTTGGGTATATTTGTAGCAATAGCCAAAAATACATTGTATGGGTCAAAATTATAAATTTTTCTTTTATGCCAAAAATCATTAGGATATTAAGTAAAGATCATGTTCCATGAAGATATTTTGTAAATTTCCTACCGTAAATATATTAAAACTTCATTTGGATTAGTAATATGCATTGCTAAGGACTTAATTTGGACAACTTTAAAGGCAATTTTCTCAATATTTTGATTTTTTTGCACCCTCAGATTCCAGATATTCAAATAGTTGTATCTCAGCCAAATATTGTCCTATCCTAACCAAACCATACATCAATGGAAAGCTTATTTAGTCAGCCTTCGGACGATGTATAAATCTCAATTTAGAAAAATTTACCCTTATGACTGTGGTCCAGGATCACATATAAAAACTCTCAAGTCCCCTGGTTTTTTTAAGTTGTATTTTAATTAAACAGATTATCTTTTATATTGGGGCTTTTCTCAACAGATATTGATTTATGCAATTATTTGTGATTAGTGTATAATGTAATTCATTCCAATAAATGTTTTAATTGACATCCATAGTTTAAACTCTTTTTCACAAAGAAAAAAAAGTTTTAGAGCTTCAAATTATGACATCATTCATAATTTGATACTTCTAGTTACTTCTGACATCTTGAGGTGTGCTGAGGAACATGAAGGAGCAGCATACTGCAGACTCCAGTGGTGGTCTAAGTTCCTATGTAAATCAAATGGGAGGGCTGCTACTTTTGTTATTCTAACATCACAGATTGTGCCTTTAAAATGAAAGATGAGGTTTTTATCAAGCAGTGACATACAGGTACTAGCTCTCGCTTAAGTGGCTGTCAGAAAAACAGAAAAGCCTTTCGATGTATTTATTGTTTTAGTTCTGCTCTTGTTATGATACATGGACATAGTGGTGAATCCCACATACAGTATGAGAACAAATTTAAATCATGTTAATGTCTTAATCGGCTCTGCTGATTTTGTTTTCTTCTGTCAGCTTATTTTTTACTATGGAGCCACGGATCACTGGTGCCCTGTGCAGTATTACCGTGATATCAGAAAAGACTTCCCTGAAGGGGACATTCGTCTGTGTGAGAGGGGCATCCGGCATGCATTTGTCCTGGATGCAGGGGAGGAAATGGCTAACATGACGGCAGAGTGGATCTTTGATGATTGAGTACGCTCTGACTGCCAGATTAACATTTTATTCCTCTTTAACCTCTACCAGCCAAATATTCTAACTGAGCCCCCTGTGAGAGTTTTTTAATGCGACCAGTTTTTTAGGATGTATTACCTATTTCCATGGCAAAGCATCAAGTTTGTCACAAAACACTTCACAAAGGTGCTGTATGACGGATGTATTGGTGGCATTTTATTTTTCAAATATTCATGATTGTAAAATATCTGGTATTTTGATTCTCAAATATGTGTAAGTAAATGTATTTTGTCCCTCAACTATGCGGTGTATTGCTTTAGTTTACTTCAAGAGTCTCTACTTTCTGTCAAGTGGACATTGTAATTGTCTGTTTGTGATGTTTATGGGAATGATTTCTAAACACACAAATGTGCAGTGGGGTGTGGAGCAGGACACATGTCAATTATTTATTTATTTTAGTGGAACATGGTAATTTTTGAAACTTGATTTAACCAGACAGCTCACATAAGAAGAAAAATCGTATATATGACGACCTGGCATGAAGATATTGTCCTCTTGATGGGAAATGTATTTTTATAATTTAAATGATTTTATATTATTATTCAATAACATCCGAAGGTTAAAAAACAATACTACTATATTACAAACCACACAGAGAATGTAACATTTGTACTTCTATGTATTTCTATATTAATTTAATTACAATGTTGATTGTTATGTATACAATCTTTTAAATGTTTAGTATGTAAAGAGGTTTTGCTTAATATTTATTTCCCATTGTATATCACTCTTGTATGATTATTTTAGGTTTTTCAGTGAAATGTTTTACACACAGAACATGTGATTTGATTTCTGTCTGAAGCGAAATTTTATTATTTTGGCAGGAAATGCCTGTACTAGAACGGGTCAAATACGGTCCTGTCAGCAATGACCTGGGACCTTGTAGAACCACAAAATTATGAATTTTAATGAAGCTCGGGCTAACCCTCATTTAAGGCTGGAAAATTATGCATATTTGAGCTTTCTCCATATGCATGGACCTCAACATTAGCCCTGGATCATTTTTATTTTCCAGACGGCATCAGCAGGACTTTGGAATAGTGTTTTAGTGCCCCAACTTGGCTCCTGACACCTCCCAAGAGTTTGCTTTATGGTGAATAGAGGAGCCAAAGCGGGACCCCTTATAAGAAAAGCCGGCTGTAGGTTTGTTCTCTGCTTGCATGGCTTCCTGGGGGTTACCAAGTGAAATATTTTGACAGTTTACCTCAACAGCCCAGGGACCAGTAATATTATTCAGTCCTCTAACCACCTCAGTCAATGTATTGAAACATCAAAACTCTCATATTTTACTCTGATGCTCAAAGTGACTTGATATGGTATTCCTGACCTTAAAGAAACAGTTCACCCAAAAATGAATATTCTGTCATCATTTACTCACTGTTTTAAACCTGTATGACTTCCTTTATATTTGGGACACATACCCTGTTCCAAATTTGACCATATAATGGAAATGAACAAGAACTGTGACTGTCAAGCTCCAAAATGACAAAAAAGCACCATAAAAGTGTCATAAAATGGTCCGTATGAATCTGAAGCCTCATACCAAAATGTAGATCTTTTTTTTTTTTTAAAAAGGCATGAGATTCACCACTTTCCCCGCTGCATTCCTGAGAGAAGTGGTGAACGGATCTTTTCAACAAATCATTTGAATGATTTGTTTACAAATCAGATCCTCGGGTTCTCAAGTTCAACTCATTGTCTCAGCCTTGTTGAAACGATTAACAGCCCATTGATATGAGTCAATAACAGAATTTCAGTCTGCTTCGAAAGATTTAGAATATAGTGCATGAGTCACTTTGACCACTTTTGTGATACTTTTAGGGTCTGTTTACAGAGATGCATTTTTGCATTTAAAAATAGGATCCAACTGCAGAGGCACAGCATTGGTTACTGGAAATGAAGGCAGGATTTTGACTCATTTTTTGCTTGAACTTTTAACTTGTCGTCAAAAAGTAGTGAGGTGTGACTCAATGTCAAAGACATAAGTCTAGCACGTTAAAAATAATTACAGATATTAAATCTAAAAAGCAACACAGTGAAACAAAGTAGTGTTCTGCACTGTAAACAATGAGTTGTACATGATTATTGGTGTTTTATAAGAAACTTCATTCAGTGTATCACTTGCCTTTTCTTTGTAATTATTTGTGAAATTTACTAGCAGTTTCTGAGTGAAAATGGTTTCGTCAACAGTTTTTTCAGTTTATGAACCGGCCCTTATGGTGCTTTTTTGTCATTTTGGAGCTTAACAGCACAAGTACTTTAAGTATATGTCAAAAAGTGGCTATTCTAATTCACTTGAGTTTTCATTTATGGGTGAGCTATTTATTTAGAAATGGGGACAGGCTTTGGTACAACACCACAGATCCTCAACAAGCATCGCCACGTGGCCCTTCCACACCAACTTGTTCAGTTGATTTGAAATCTGTCTTCTTCAGTACCAGGACGTCCTGTAGGTGGACCGCTCCGGCAGTGATTGGCGCATCCGAGCGGCTCAGCAAACGGAGAATAAATATTTCCAGCTGATCCGTTTCCCCTTCTCTCTGAGAGTCGGGAATCTCCGTGTAAGCCCAGGTCTCTTTAATCTTCCTTTCCAGGCTTCTCAAAAAGAATGACAAAGCCCCTTAATTTGCTTATCCTTGATTTAAACCAGGAGGCAGGGCTAGTTCATAGAAGGAAATGGAGTAATCCTGCCCGGGTGGATTGAATTGTGGCAAAGCAAACAAGCTTTACTGTTTTACGTCTCCAGAGTGGTTTGGGTTCTCTTGTGGTGATGAAGAATCGTTCCAGAGATATTCTGGTATTTTCCTGCCAAATATCATCTGTAATAGATCATTTTCTTTTCCCCTGGTTTTTGTTATGTTTTGTTTTGACATGGCAATAGTTACTCTTTGTTCCCCTCTCTCTCTCACTTTTGTACCAACTTAACATCATCTGATACGCTCTGATCCGGGGATAAAATTGAAATAGATCTTTTCTACTATATGTAAGCCTACTGTATTTGGTGTTGTTGTGAGATTTGTCTTCCAAAAAAGTATTTTCTTATTATAGCAGCACCGATACTGTGGCCATTTCCTATGCATATATATAATTCAGGTCCCACATTCTCCTACAATGACACAAACTGTGAGTGTAGGAAAAGCAAACAGTGCATCCCGTCCCACAAGCCTGTTCTCACGGGAGTATTGAAAATGTTTTTCAGGTTGTGTAACTTACAGAGAGCCAGAATTGTCCCCCACGGTGGCCCATCATTGCTATTGATTCGGTTTAAGGGAATTAGATCACTTTAAATGCAGTATTTACATTAACATCAGAGTGTAATAGTGGAATCATATGCGCAGAAATGTATGAAAATCTTAATGGGAAAAACACACTAAAAGACAAGCCGGCCAACGCTGAGTTTGATGAAATGACCTGCCTTTGCATTCAACTATATTAAAGTGCTGATAACCATGTGCATGAAACCAGAATGCTTCAGTTACTACTTTACCAGTCTTTAATATTTTGTGGGCACTAGTTTCATAATTAAGTTTGCTGTAATGCTGCATATTGCATATGGTACATTCAGAAGGGATGCATGAAACAGGTGTGAAAAATCTGGCAAGCTGATTCGCAGTTCTGGAAAAGCTTTGTAAAATAGTAAATGCCCAATTCTTTTGGAAAGAACATGTATTTCATTATACAGCATTCTAGTTTAAGTGCAAACTAAAATGTATCCTATTAGAAAACTGTTATGAATGCATGTGATCCTACAGTTTCCCCCATTGTATTTATAATTTACCTGTTCGATATATGCAGTTATGACGTGCACTCGCAATGGAAATTTCACTACTTGTTGAAATTATAGATTTTTAAACTTAAGTATTACTTTGTTTTAAAATATTTCAATAAAAATCATCTAAAATATTTGAGAAAATATGTAGAAATTGATAAATGGCCAATATATTACAGAAACGTGGTCACTTCTTAGCTTACCAAAAATCTTTTTTGAATTTAGAATATTTATTGTGTCATATATATATATATATGTGTGTGTGTAGTATTTTTCTTTTTATTATTATCCTTAAAATAGCATTAATACCCACTTTCAAATGTTAAGCCTTCATTTCTAAATTAAAGATTCAGGCCAGTAGTACTACAGAATCAGACTGTATTTGTCCCAAATGCCAAGAAAACATTTGGATGACAGCCTCATCATTTCCTCCATCTCAAAATGTCTATCAACTTTTTGACCTGAATGAGAATGTATATGACCAAAGTGGCTCTCAGGAAAAGACATCTGGACAGATGTCAAAGTCTGGACACTACAGTGCTGTTTTTGGTCTCAATTGTGACTGCGACGTGATTCAATAAAAAAAGAAACAAGCGTGTTTAAAAAGATCCTTCCTCTCTTAAAGAAAAACTGTATCCCCTCTTGTCATATACTCCAGGCAGTTGTTCAAATATTTGGGGGTCAGCGCTTATTTAAAACCATCTGAGAAATGGACTTGGTTAGGGGCCACCTATTTTCTGTTCCTAATAATTGTTTGATATAGTGTATTATTGCAGTATCCGTAGACTCAGCAAAGGAAATTTTAGCGACCTTGATTCAGATTAGTTATGCTATCCATCAAAAACAGATTAACAGATGGCATTTGAATAAGTTATCTCTGTTACTCCTTTTTAAATATTGGAGGTATTGTAATAAAAGTGACTGATGATCCATCTCCTATAGTTGCTCTAACATCATAACCTTCTCTGGACATGTGCTCAATGGCAGGGCACAAAGTCATTCATTTTGTTTTAAAAAACCTCCACGGCGACCCTCCGCTCACATTAGTGTTTCCTGGAGTTCAGCACACAATGCTGCACAGCTCCCCTACCAGCGCCGGACAATATCATATCCCCCTCTTCACCCGGTGTTGTATGGAATTTAGAATCACCTGGAAACTTCCTGAATACTTGCTGGCAAAAAAATGAGACAAAATACAAACCCAATAATTATTCCGGAACCGTGGGTGAGTCAGACAGTCACCGAGGGTTCACTTTCATGTGGATGTCTGGGAAAGAAGATTTGCTGCGGGAGTGTTTTTTTCTTTCCATCAATACACTTTTTTTTTATTTTTATAAAATCATCTGTACAACAAATGGCAGTAAAGAAGAGTGAAAAGATGCTAAGTGTGTTTACATTTTGTTTTTAAATTTCAATTTGTTTTTTATATATTTATTTCATACATATACCAATAAACAATATATCCAAAAAAAAAAGAAAAGCAATATATTGCCGATAATTTACATTTGAATTATGTACACTTCCTTATCTAACAGTATACATACTCTTACATACACAGTGCATTTACAATAAAAAGTAAATAACAAAAAAAGACATTCTCCCATTTTTTGTAGTATGAAAATGATCATTTTCTTAGCCAGATAAATACAATAAATGCATTAAATTAAGAAAAGCGCTTTGGCATGTGTACAATAATTTACACTTATATTTTAACCCTTTGTTCTAATAAAACAAATCAGTCACGGCTTTATGGTTCCCTCCATATTTTTTTAAGCAACATATATTTTACCAGCTTAGGTACAGTAAAGTAAAACAGATGTCGGTGAAGGTAAGTTAACATTGCTTAGCACTGATCAGCTTGTATATTCCAGGGGTGCCAAACCCCTTAACTGAACCATGACAATCCTGCAGGATTTGCATTCATTTCTCTGAGAGCACTTGGCATAGTAAATTGAAACTCCTTCTCTACTAAATGTCTCCTGAGGCTTTTCACTTTAGTCAAATAGCGAGGCACAACTGAGGTAACCCATGCAGCGCTTAAGCTGATAACCTCCAGACCTCCGAACAACAGACGAGGCAACGGCACTCTTTGTGCCTCTTTATCTCCTTAAACCAAAGATGGCGTCCCCTAATGTTATTCTGTTCCAGCTAGGTGTGGTATCATGATCGTGTCAATACTGAAATAAAGGCTGCTTATAAAAAGAATCAGATTGTTTGGAGAAACTGCCTTGAGAGGAATTAGATTAAGGAGCAAGCACATACGATTGAAATTGTTTACAATGAGAGGAGATAAAGACCTCGAGAGAGGGATATTGCTTGAACTATCCTTGTCTGGCCAAATGAAATTAATTTGTTTGAAATAGATGTTGAAGATCTAATTTTTGCTTTATCTTTCCAAACAGTCCGGTTCAGTCCTGCAGAACAAGATTTTGCCTCAGAACAAAAACAGCTCTGCACAATTTGAATGGGAAATCAAGAAATACTGTGAGAGATGCAACTGTTTTCAACATAATTTTAAATGGTAAATTGAATTTACTTCTGCAAAAGTACTTACAAACAATCAAAACAACAAGCTTATAAACTAACAGTCACGACAGTAATGTACCGTAAAACCACACAGGAAGTTTTCTTCAGATTTCGTGACATTATATTGTTCTGAACTGCACAGATGCTCTGGCTAATTCTTCTGTGGTCTGTTGATTTAGGAATGTAACTTTCATACTGCCACCGTGGACAATTTGGGTGATTATCATTCCCATACAATGAGACCAACATTGATTGAGGGGAATTACCATGGAGAAATGTCAAAAAAAGAAAAACAATTGCTGTTATGAATTAAAAATCTGCTTTGTATTTCTTCATAGAGGAAACAGTTGATGTTATATAAACAGTAAGCAGGCAAATATTTCTGCTCTGACACTGAGATTAATGAACGCTAGAAGCTTATTTTCATTTTGTTCTTGTGGCTTGATGTCATTCAGAAGAAGTTCTATCTAAAACGTTCACATAAACTAACATGAATTTAAGGAGATAATTCACCCAAACTTTCTTTCTTCTGTGGAATATAAAAAAAATATTTTGAGAAATGTTTTTTGTCCATACAATGGAAGTCTATGAACATTCTTCAAACATCTTCTTTTATGTTCAGCAGAAGAAAAAAAAAACATACAAGTTTGGAATGACATGAGGGTAAATAAATGATGAACCCTTTAAAGCATTTAAATTGGGCATAAATTAGGTTCCTTTTTGTTTTTGTTATATTATGGGACAATGCACCTTTTTACCTTGTGGCTGTCATTCATAAATAAACAATTTAAATTAAACATTTGAGGAAACACAGTGGATTTGTATGATAACCCATAGTAAGACATGACAATTAAAGGATAAAAGTAATCTAATCTAATTACCAGCTCAAGTAAACAAACTCTCTCAGTAAATGCAGGTGAACACTGAAGTCTTCAAACAGCCAAATCTGGTGTCAGAATAAAACAAAACAATCATTTTGATTTTGGCTCCACAATGCCTTTCACAAAATAAGGTCTTAGGTCGCTCAATGCAATGAAGTCATTTATCTTGCACATATTGCACACATCATGTACTATAATGCAGCTCTATCGTCTGACCGAAGCCAAATGTGGTGTCATCAACATAAAACGCCTGGGTTCTCATTCTCATTAAATAGCTTAATTTTAGGTTTAGCATTAACTATGTTATTTTAAGAATATAAAATGATGTGCTTAACAATGTTATGGTTTATTACATTGGTCTGTTGGTTCTAGAAGCATCTAAAGCTCCAAAAAGGAAAACCATATATATATATATATACCCTACTGTTGACTACTACTGACTAATCACTCCAAAGCTGCAGAAAAATGATATCATGACAAATGCTGATTGGCTGATGAAACCACACATGCACAGTACCCAATCCTTTACTAGTGACTATCCTGAGCTATGACAAAAGACTGGGTAAAAATGTCAATTTTACATGTTTAAGAAAGCCCTGTGCACTGGTAAAACACCTAAATAAAATACAGCTATTTTGAATGGTCGTCAGTTGATAAAGATGTTTTTGCAACCACATGGTGTAGTTACAACATCTACCAGCAGGGGCTAATGAGGCCATGCTAACCAGCTAAACTTGGACCCCTTAGATTTAGAATGGAGTCAAACTTTCACTCAGTCAATGCCATATTTAATTAAGGCCACCAGACTCCACGGAGAAAAATTTTCAGAGGCACTATCGAAATTCTTCTGAGCTATTTCATCTTGAATATAAGCTGACTGTCATGCAAAGCACCTTTAACTGTTATACATGTTATAGTTGCGTGCTACCGCTGACAGATTCTCAGACTCTGACAGAGTCTTAACGGGGCCAACATTTCTACCGCTGCTGCAAGGATACTTCAACACTCTATCATTGAGTTTATATTAACAGGATGTAAAATACTTTCTGGAAAGCCTATGTTTTCACTAATTTTCCGTTGAGGAGTTATTTATTTGGTGTTGTAAGGGAATTTGGAGCTGTTCGGCACACATGTCCTTCGCTCACTTCTAAAACACAACTCAATGTCTTGTCGCCGTCTGAACATACACACATGCTCGTTGTCACACATTTACACACGGTCCATCTCACCAGCTCTGACTCCATCTTGCCCACATATGAGGCCTCTGCGTATGAGGCAGCGGCAGCATTCGGATAGTGTCCAGGGGTAGTTCACCCCTCACTCACATTGCTACCTGCACCCACAACTCTCCACCACCATGTCCTCATACTGTTTATAAACCACGTTATTCCCAGAGTCAATGTACAGGATGCTGATGGGACTGAGTTTAGAAGGAACACAACAACTGGGAGGGGTGGACTCCGGGTCCATGGAGTTCATGAGAGTCTGGATGATGGCGTGGTTGGTCGGTTCCAGGTGTGAGCGCAAGGGGAAGTCACACAAACCCTCACAGTGATAAGCTTCGTAATCAAGCGGCGCAATAATCCAGTCGTCCCAACCCAGTTCTTTGAAGTTCACGTGAAGCGGCTTCCGGCTGCAACGTGTTCTCCGTCTGCCACCACCCTTTCCTCCACCGGCGCCTCCTGTTGCGGGTCCTACACCAGAACGGCCTGCTAGTGCAGTCCGCCTCCTCCGCCGATGTCTCGGATTATCTTTAATACCATGCTCGGGTGCAGGATTAGGAAATTTACGACTTTTCATGGCCTTTATCTTCTCACGGATCTCCCTAAAGAGGTTCTCCTTCCTCCGAGCTCGAGTAAAAGCCACCAGTAAGGCCCTTTCGTGGGTCTGCTGATCCTCATGGCTCAGACCCAGCATGCCGGGATGCACCACCTCATTATTTGAATCAGAAATGGCGGATATGCTGAAGCACAACGGCCTGCTGCCTTCTGCGGCCCTGTTCAACTTGAGGTGGGTCTTCACGCTTGTGCCTACGTCAAACACGTCCCATGTGGCTGAAGCGGTATCTAGAAGATCAATGGTCCTGGAAGTAAGGAGCCGAGGTTGGTTAGAGGATCCCGGGAGGGAGCAGGTGTGAAGGAGTAGTCGGTACAGGTTCCCACCAGTGGAGAGTAAACTTAAGACATCAGGCGGTGGCCTCCTCAGAACCCGCAGCTCCACCTCCATCAGTTTGTCCAGTCGTGAGAGACCAGACAGGTCGAATGTGTACTGCTGGTGGAACTTTAGAGAAGGATCGTCTGAAGGTATAAGAAAAAGGATTGATTAGCATTGAAATAAGAAATAGAAGAAGGAATTTGAAGAGTTAATGCAGCAAGAGGCAGACATGAATGCGTTTCCTCACCTTACTATGAACGGTCTTACATATGGCTTTTGAGAAAATGGCATACGCAAATTGTCAGTCCTTCTACTCAATGAGAATAACATTCAAGGGCCTGAATGATTTCTCCAAACACGAGGTGCAGCATGCTCACGGAGACCAGGTGGAGAGCATTTGGCTGACCTGTCAGACTGTGTCTGCCTTTGGCAGCATCTGCTAATTACGCTGATTGAGTGAGAAGAAGGTTTGGCAGGACATTGGAAATGCTCAGCCTTCCTCCTTCCACTATATGTCCTCAGGAGGATGTAGTAAATTTGAAAGGTGGGTGGCTTAAGGGTGTAATTAAATGTTAGGTAACATTTCAAGCTGAGGTGGACCTCAGTTTTCTGTGGCCACCATGAACTGGAAGTGGTCTTTCATTATTCGCACAGCTAACTTGAAATCACTGCGGGGAACAAAATCTCTGACTGCAAGATGTTGTCCTCTCCTTTTTGTCTGGAGAAAGAAATTGGCTAAAAGAACACATCCAATACTCAGTCTCATCCGTGACTGAAAGGATGCAGAACCAACCTTTGCTAAGAGAGACCAGACTTTACGCTCAGAGTAAAACAAGCTTCAATGTTGACATCTTGACATCCAGTTCAAGAAATGGAACCCAGAGTACTATGCAACCTGATATAGAGACCACAGTTTCATGGGGTAAACATGAAGAGGATTCTTCCAATATGAGCTGGCTGCACAAAAACCCAAGGCCAGATTGGGACATATCATATTGATGTTATATTACGAGAGAACCTTGAGAATAATGGTAATTGTAAACTGTTTCGAGCCACCAGATTTTTGGGGTTTGGCCACAAATGCTGTACCTGTCCTATGGTGCTACATGAGAAGGAGCATCCAAAAGAGGTGTTTTTAAAGAAAAGCACTATATATTTCTCTCCTTTCTGAGACAAAGGAATGCTATAAAAATGAAAGGTGAACAGAGGGGAGGGGTGTAGAGTAAAGCATCCTCCTCAAAGCTAATATCCGCTTGCCAGACTAAACAATAACATAACCTAGAAAATGAACCGAGGCAGGCAGGGACTCAAGTTCCTTGGGCCTACATCTAGTGTCTGTATTTGCTGTTTATTGGCTTCAGACAATGCACAGTCATAATTTGGTCACCAAACTATGTTATGGATTTAGTTTAGATTTTTTATTTATTTTTTTTTACATTGACATTTTGCATTGGCATCATTTATGATGGGGACAGGTGGGACAATCTTTACACAAAGCCATGCTGCACTCCCAAGCCAGATTTGAACCAGAAACAACCCATATTCAAACCAAACACATTACCATTGAACCAACAACAAAATTCTGGACCCATAAGCATCAGATGTATATGTGAAGGTATATAATTAAATATTTAAATATGTATATATTTAAATATATATTCATTTTAGCATTTGAACTGGTCAGAATGATTGCTACCTCATATACCTATGCATAGTCTATAAGATTAATGTCAGAAAAAATGCTATTGAAATTGTTGATTTAAATTTTTTTTTTTTTTTTTACATTACTCATTTAATATATTAAGATTGTGATGTCATATCTACCACTGTGCCCCGTTTTGTGTGTGTGTGTGTGCCAATGTGATGCCAATGGTTTTATATTTACTTTATAAGAACTAATAGAGTTCAAATAAAATTTCATGACTCTTCACTATTCGCAAAATGTGGGCAAATATGAGTGGAAATATAATGCTTGGAATGCATATAATGCTAATTATTACCCTTAATACTCTTGAACAAATGTGGCATTGCCACTTTTTATTATTCAAAGGCTGTGCCCTCAAATGTAATAACTGGCCTGTCAATATATGAATGTCACTTCAATCTATCGAACACAGAAGAACCTTTTTGAATACTAGAAAAAAAAAATGTTTTTCACGCATATCTCCATATATTTGGTCGGGAGGAGAGCTGACATACTGCATTTCACAAATCCTGTATTTTACGTGACAATCTTTATTTGAACATAAGTTTTAAATTAAAATGTTTCTCTATCTTTATCAGCAACACCTGGAGGGGAGAACGCGTGCTCCGTTTTAGATACTTTAGCTCAAGGTGCTGCTGAAGTTTATTTGTCACAGATGTTGGAAATTTGAGACATTTGACTTCATATTTCTTTTTGGGAATTTTATGTATTTCGAAAATATTATTCAGAAGTAGATGATCCTGAACGAAATTAAACTTGAGCTGTACATATGGGATCGCGAATTTACATTATAACAATCCATCACTGAGCCAGAGTATTTAATCAATTATGTCTCTTTACTAGTTGAACGGCCAATGGACAGGCTATCCGCATAATTCTAATTCACGCAAAACTACACATTTCTCCAATTTATGCACAGACCAAAATTAAGATATTTTTATTGCCATCTTTTTTTCTGGATTCATAATGATGTGCCATCAATAATAATAATAATAGGGGTTCGTAATTATAATGATTAATATTAGTAACAATATCGTTGTCGGCAACAAATAATATTATTCGATAATAATATCCAGAGCATCAGACAATTTCTATATATCATAGGTGAAATATACTCTACTGTCCTCATGTATAAACTTAAAGTCTTACTATCAGTCACACCGAGATCAATCATCTTACAGTGTCAGCTGTCATATTACAAGCATGATTTATTACTGCAGCGTATACCTTATGCCATTCATTACAATTGATGATTTTATGTGCCAAGTATAATATATCAAAATAAACATTTCAGGCCCAATCTGAAGGAGTGAAATCCGCACCGATGGCCTCAAGCAGATCATCTTACAACCCATCTATCTATCTGTCTGTCTGTCTCACCGGTGGATCAATCTCACTCACCTTGTCCCAGGTCAATGAAGCTGGTCACTGTATTGGCATATCTCCTGGAGCGCGTCTGGCTGCCGTTGCTTCCCCGTCGATCCAGTTCCGATAGAGTCCTGTACAGAGAGATCATGTAAGACGGAACATGAACAGATGTGGAGTCGTTCCGAGAGCTCGCGCTGGCTTCTGCAGGACCGCGCGCATCCAGATGTGAGTGGAGCCCGTTATCAGAGGGGTACTGCACCGATCCCAGCACCACTGCCTCAAGAACATTCCCAAAGCAAAAAGAAAACCATAGGAAGGGAGCGGCAGTCTTCTTGGGAGTCATTTTCAGTGGTCTCTGGCCGAAAATGGCAAAGTTGGATGGACTTGATGACTTTGGAAACTCCCCTTTGCTCTTTAGATAGTGTTAATATCTTGAACGTGAGTAACACTGAATGCCTGTTGCTCTGTATTCAGATAGCGCCCCCCTTTGGAAAGATATTTGGAAGCGGTAACGTGTGTTTTAAGTCAGGATTCTAGGAGTGGGCTGATATTATTGGCAATTTTGTCATTTCTAAATAAATAAAATTATGCTAAACAGACTGAGCTTAAAGTAAAGAATGAAAAGAATTATTCTGCTTTGCTATGAATTTTCTTAGTACACTTGTATTGTTTTTTATATAGCATTGACATTTTTCTTCAAAATAAGCATAATAATTTAAAATAAGCGTATTGGAAGTATTCGGAAAAGTTGCTTTTCATGCTGTAACATCTTTTGCGCAATCGACCCCGTTTAATGCGCGCACACTGCCATCTACCGTTGACAACACTTAACTAATACACGTGCAAAGTTTATGCAAGTTAAATTACAGTACAAAACCGCTAATAGTAAAATCCGTTTTCACTGCAGGAATAGTAGTCCATGCTTTTAAGTACAAATACTGCCTTTCTTATAGGCTACATATGCTAAGGGGGAACAGAGTTGTCACACTTCTTACTCGGGTTAATATTTCTCAGTGTAGTTTTCTTTTTGAAAGTCAATTTCTGTATATATCAAATCACTGTTGTGGCCAAAAATACAACATACGAAAATATGACTATAAAGCCACTAAAGGCATTCACTATGTTATATGATATTCCCTCTGCTGTGCAAGCCATTAGTGAATGCATTCATGCAGATTAATAGCATGGATTTTGATCTGATTCTTTCTTCATGCTGTCCATTTTTCTACTAATTTACACCTTGTCAGCTACCAAAAAATAAAGACTATCATATACATAATCAGTCAAGCATATGCTTCTTTTCACTTGTCACTTGCTGGAATCAAAGAAGGAGCATTACAATCCATTACTTTTTCATTACAGCTAACATCTGCTCAACTTAAGCTGAAAATGTCCATCTGAAAATATGGTACCATGGAGATTTAACTTTGGATCACAATGTTGAGGTAAAGCACATTTCCAATGGTACTACCTGAACACCTAATTTATATACAGTGGTGTGAAAAAAATGTTGGCCCCTTCCTGATTTCTTATTTTTTTTACATGTTTGTCACACTTTAATGTTTCAGATCATCAAACAAATTTAAATATTAGTAAAAGATAACACAAGTGAACACAACATGCAGTTTTTAAATGAAGGTTTTTATTATTAAGGGAAAACCAAATCCAAAACTACATGGCCCTGTGTGAAAAAGTGTTTGCCCCCTAAACCTAATAACTGGTTGGGCCACCCTTAGCAGCAACAACTGCAATCAAGCGTTTGCAATAAGTTGCAATGGGTCTGTTACAGCACTGTGGAGGAATTTTGGTCCACTCATCTATGCAGAATTGTTGTAAATCAGCCACATTGGAGGGTTTTCGAGCATAAACCGCCTTTTTAAGGTCATGCCACAGCATCTCAACAGGATTCAGGTCAGGACTTTGACTAGGCCACTCCAAAGTCTTCATTTTGTTTTTCTTCAGCCATTCAGAGGTGGACTTGCTGGTGTGTTTTGGATCATTGTCCTGCTGCAGAACCCAAGTTCGCTTCAGCTTGAGGTCACGAACAGATGGCCGGACATTCTCCTTCAGGATTTTTTGGTAAACAGCAGAATTCATGGTTCCATTTATCACAGCAAGTCTTCCAGGTCCTGAAGCAGCAAAACAGCCCCAGACCATCACACTACCACCACCATATTTTACTGTTGGTATGATGTTCTTTTTCTGAAATGCAGTGTTACTTTTACGCCAGACGTAATGGGACACACACCTTCCAAAAAGTTCAACTTTTGTCTCGTCAGTCCACAGAGTATTTTCCCAAAAGTCTTGGGGATCATCAAGATGTTTTCTGGCAAAACTGAGACGAGCCTTTGTTCTTTTTGCTCAGCAGCGGTTTTCGTCTTGGAACTCTGCCATGCAGACCATTTTTGCCCAGTCTCTTTCTTATGGTGGAGTCATGAACACTGACCTTAACTGAGGCAAGTGAGGCCTGCAGTTCTTTGGATGTTGTTGTGGGGTCTTTTGTGACCTCTTGGATGAGTCGTCGCTGTGCTCTTGGGGTAATTTTGGTCGGCCGGCCGCTCCTGGGAAGGTTCTCCACTGTTCTATGTTTTTGCTATTTGTGAATAATGGCTCTCACTGTGGTTCGCTGGAGTCCCAAAGTTTAGAAATGGCTTTATAACCTTTTTCAGACTGATAGATCTCTTACTTTTTATTTCTCATTTGTTTCTGAATTTCTTTGGATCTCGGCATGATTTCTAGCTTTTGAAAATCTTTTGGTCTACTTCATTTTGTCAGGCAGGTCCTATTTAAGAGATTTCTTGATTGCGAACAGGTGTGGCAGTAATCAGGCCTGGGTGTGGCTAGAGAAATTGAACTCAGGTGTGATAAACCACAGTTTTAACAGGGGGGCAAACACTTCTTCACACAGGGCCATGTAGTTTTGGATTTTGTTTTCCCTTAATAATAAAAACCTTCATTTAAAAACTGCATGTTGTGTTTACTTGTGTTATCTTTGACTAATATTTAAATTTGTTTGATTATCTGAAACATTAAAGACATACATGCAAAAAAAATAAGAAATCAGGAAGGGGGCCAACACTTTTTCACACCACTGTAAATTCAACATGTCAACATGCAGCTGATTGTGTGTTGATTTGCTGCCTGGATTAACCAACACTTTGCTATAATGTATATGGGTAACATGTTTAACTCTGGAGTTTTTGCCAGGAAGCTCAATTTTTCTGCTTCCTCTCCTGACCTCATTAGTTAATAACCAATGTTCAGTAAACTAAACACATTCTAGTAGCCAAAGAAACATTTATTAAGCTCACAGCATGAGCTTGGACTGAAAGGTTATCTTGGTGACAAAATTGTATTTTTACCCCTCATAATAATTGACTAGTATGTTGACTACAGTATATTTCCACTCCAGCATTTTAGTAACTTGTGATCAGTTGCCCTGCATTAGACACCAATTACAGATCTTTTGTCATTGCTGTCAAATAGCTGCAAAGATTTTGTAAATGTATATATAAGAAGAAATGGACATACGTAAAAAGTGTTATCATAAAGTTCAAAACATAACTAAATTAATGTCTTAATGATTATATATTTTGAAAGATTATGGCCTTTTGTTTCCACAAATGAGTATCATGATCATCATTCCTTTGAAACTAAATAAACTTCCACCGACTCACTACGAAGTATGTCATATCTCAGTTTTGTGTTTTATCTATGAATCAGCTCATACCATTTGCCATGGACATAATATGCCTTAGTTAAGTTTGCTGTTGCATCCTAGATGTAGATGAGTTTGTTTCTTCATCTGATTTGGGGAAATTTAGCATTACATCACTTATTCACAAATGGATCCTCTGCAGTGAATGGGTGCCGTCAGAATGAGAGTTCAAATGGCTGATAAAAACATCACAATAATCCACAAGTAATCCACACAACACCAGTCCACTTCTTTTGAAGTGTTTGTAACCACATGCAAACACACGCACACGCACGTTGGGTTTCAATGTTTTATAGGGACATTGCATAGATGTAATGATTTTTATACGGTACAAACTTCCCCTCACAAAAAAACTTCTGCATTTTTAGATTTTCAAAAAATGTATGTAGTATGATTTATAAACTGTTTCCCTGGGGACCAAAAAAAAAATTTCCCCACAAGGACTGGTTTTGTAATTCTTGCTAACAAATGTGGGTGTTACCCTTAAAAGAAATACATTTAAATTAATTAAAATTAAATGTAGGCTAAATTATTAATTTAATTTATTATTCTTTTTAAGGCAAATAACACCTAGTAGCCTAATTGTGGTATTTGGGTGGAAACTGTGGTTACCGTGGGAATTTGTGTACCGATAACATACGAGTACAACATTTAAAATTCCCTTTGTAAATTTGCAAATAAGAATATGCACTGTGTTACCTGTTTTATAAGATCGTTCTGAAAACACACCCTGCGTCCCAATGTGCATACTATCCACCCTATCTGCCCTAAATAGTATTGAAAATTAATATCACGTAGAATTTAGGATGGATAGTATGCACATCGGGACACAAGCTAAGACTTTCTCTGCTTTTCTTGCTAGTTTTTATTTGCAGACACGTCCTGCACATTAACTTCCTCAATCAAAATAAAAGATCAGCTGATGGTCACGTGACTATCACATGATCAGTACATTAGGACACGGGCATTGGTGTTGTTTTTCCAGATATCAGGGTACATGAACGCGAAAACAATGCGGTGAGTATTTTGTTGTTTACATAGAGTTATCTTACGCTAATCGTAGTTTATAGATCACATCTGCAGAAACTATTTGTAAATCTCACAGACAGCGGCTCACCTCATGAGGTCAGATGGTCAGGACAAACAGTTCACATAAACGTGTTCCCTCGTGTACTGCTTTCCAGCATGTTCATTATTCAAGTTGACTATTAGAATTAAAATGACAAAAGTCAGTAACCTGCTCTTGTGCGTTGGCTATAAAATAATTCATTGTGCATTAAAGTGGGTTCTTAAAGTGACAGTGTTTATTTTTACAGGATTGCTGTTTTTGTCCTGAGCTTTATTTGGCTCGTCAATGGGGAGCTGCTTGAGGCTGACCAAGATGCTTCGTAAGCCCATGCATGCCTCTGTCTAGCAATAATTATAAATTATGTCTAAATTATGAACTATATTGGTAACTTCTGATGTAATTTCTATATTTTATTTACACTAGAAACAGCCCTTGAGCAATGTTATTCTCAATGTTTTAGCGTGCCTGAGGACTGGATTCTAGTTGAACGGGTTGAACCTTTGGAGGAAGTGGAACTTACATTTGCATTAAAGCAGCAGAATGTTAAGCAGATGGAAGAGTTACTGAAACTAGTGTCGGACCCTGACTCACATCAATATGGTATTGAGCCTCTCATTTGTTATAATCCAAATGATCAAATAAAGAAATGAAGTTCTCATTATTTTTTTTAGGGAAGTACCTGAGTTTGGAAGAAGTGGCTGCTCTTGTGCAGCCTTCTCAGCGGACCGAGAAAGTAGTGCAGAATTGGCTCCAGAGTCATGGGGTCAAAAACTGTAACACAGTTGTAACACGGGACTTCCTTCAATGTGTCATGACTGTGCAGTAAGGACACATTTTGAGTGAATTTTATAGTATCAAGAGACCACAAAAATTAGACCAGTTTCTCATCTTCTATCTGTCTTTCTCAGGGTGGCTGAAGCATTACTCCCTGGCGCTAAATTTCACCGCTACAGGAGAGATTCACACACTCTATTGAGGTCAACATCTCTATACTCCGTTCATGAAGATGTGCATCAGCATCTAGACTTTGGTGAGTAGCTGACACTATTAGTTCATCTCCAGCTTCGAACCTATAAGCCTACTGTAAAAATTTCTAATGCCTCTAAATGATCAACATGATCAAAACTCTCTCATTCATCATTGTTGTTACATTGCAGTATATGTTTTACCTTGCACAATTAAAACTACAGATTTTTGATTATAAAACTAAGCATTTAAATATCATCCTACTAATACAAATTATTAGAAGATATGACATCTGATATTTATATGCAATTTATGCAAGTAGTTTGCTATACTGTTAGAAAGTTGTCAGTGATTTACATTACAGGCTATCAGAATTTTAGCATCTTTTGCTCAGTTTTACTGGCATCTGAGTAAAATTGAGGCTTTTTTCCCCTCTTGGAGTATGAGCTCCGTATTCTTACTATATGGGCCATAAAAACCTAATGTATACTTTTTGCAACCTTTATTTATTTATTTTTAGATTTTAAAGATTTTGTCTAAAGATTTTTTAAAAATCATATGTCTGATCTTACAGGTTACAGGACTTAATCATTTTCATTCAACAATACAGTATTTTGCTTTTCAGTAATTGTAATCACATGCATTATTTTGACCTCGTAAAGGTCGATAAAATAAATACATTTCTAATGGAAAATCTATGAAGTAATCACTCTCACATGGTCTTTTTTTTATCTTTTTAGTGGGTGGTGTTCACCGTTTTCCACCAAAAGGAAAGGATATCAGTAAAGGCTGGGAAGGAGCAAGACAGTCAGCATTAGGCTATCAATTGGGTGTCACCCCCTCAGTCATTAGGAGTCGCTACAACCTTACAGCAAAAGATGTGGGCACTGCCACTAACAACAGTCAGGCAGTGGCACAGGTCCAACTCTCATATTTACTGTGTACATTTCACTGATTAAATCCATTAATTTAATCATATGAGCAGAATTCTGAAGTGTAAATATCCTCACTAAGTAGTTCTTGGAGCAGTACTACCACCCTGCTGACTTGGCTGAGTTTATGAGTCTGTTTGCTGGAGGATTCACACACATGTCTGCTGTAGAGCGGGTCGTGGGCACTCAGGGTGGTGGGAAAGCTGGCATTGAGGCCAGTCTGGATGTGGAGTACATCATGAGCAGTGGAGCAAACATTTCTACATGGGTCTTCACAAATCCAGGTATGTGGTCCATGGAAACATTATGTTAGTACCAGATGCTATTATAGTTTTTATTAGTATTTTGAGTTGGTTTTCTATTCAGTTTTAGTTAAAGTTTTAGTAGTTTTGTTGTGTCATTTTTATTATTTCTTATTTGTCTGTATAGTTTTTATTCATTTTTATTTCGGTTTTAGTGCATTAAGTTGAACTTATTTTATTTCAGCTAGGTGCCAGAACAATATTTCTCTCAAACTATAATAACTTTGATTCATGGACATAATTTGCCTTAGTTAAGTTTGC